ACGTTGGAACACGAATCAGCGGCCACTTCTCATTGAGCTAAAATTAGATGACCTGACTGATTCATAATTCTGATAGCCTTTTGCCTAATTTGAGGACATATTATCCTCCAACTCACCCAACACTACTTTAGCGATAGACTACCATGGATCGACTGCTTTTCATATTCGACTACTTCCACAGTGCTCACCTCACCTTTTTTCTACCTTTGTGTCTGTCTCTTACACAACTTTGAAACACTCTTCTATCCCCACCCCTTCCCCTCCCCCCCCCAACCCCGATTTTTTTCGATTTGACGTTCCTCTCCCTCTTTGAAGTAAAAGTCAACTAATGGGGCTAATGATAACTATCAAAACGCCTGCCATTTGATATAAATAACTTCAGCACTCTTGTGCTTAGAAGCTGTGAATAAATGGAAATTCTATGTACCTTGTGTTACCGTGGCTGTTAGAAATTAAAGATTATGCTACTTGGCCAACAAGTGTTCTCCTTAGTAAATTTTGCTCATAAATAAATAATAATTGTTAGCATTATAATAACTAACAGACAAAATGGTGTGAAAGAAGTTACTTGTAGTTATGACTTTCCTAAAAGCGCAAACAAATCCTATATAATTTCAGTTAAGAAATCGTATTGACCACAACTTCTCAGCATATTCCCACCAGCCAGAATAGGATTAGACAATCGAAATTTGAACGCAGATTTGAGGAGACGAGAGGAAGCGAATGCGTTGGAAATTAAATTAAGGGAACAAGAAGGAGGAGGGGAGGGGAGGGGAGGGGAGTGTGGAAGATTCGAGATCTATTCCCTCAACTGCGAAGTACTTTGTCAAGAAATTGAATAATCGAGGCGGTCAAGTGATCATCCTCACGGATTCGATGCCTGGATGTTGGATAGAACTGGAAAAAAAACAAGAACAAAAAAAGAATCATGAGGAACTTCAGCAAATACTTAAATTTACATATAAGTAGAGCATACATTTAATTCGTAGGGTTTGCCATGAGTATTTAATTCCTGTATGAGATTCGCGGTGTGGGCGAAATGAACATTTTCGTCCTTTCCACCATGAGCGATCATTAGATATGGCGCGAAATCGGGGAAGTTCTCGATATAGGTCAAGACATTAGCTTTCCTAAAGTACACAGAAAGTTTACAATCTTATATAATTGCAATTAGTTAGTAGGATAGGATTCCATATAGCACAACCTGTAGTCAGCATCATTTTCACTTGGAAGACCAAGATAGCGCTCTGTATACGCGGTATCATAGTGTTGCCAGCTAACGACTGGGGAGGCGGCTATCGCAGCCTTGTAGACGTCCCTATGTTTTGCTGCAGCCATTAGAGACAAATAACCCCCTGAAACGAACACTTCCATTCAACTTCCATTCCATTTATAAAACTATCAACGTATGAAGCAAATGTTGTCACTCACCGTAAGAGCTTCCATGAATTGCAACTCGGCTGAGATCGATGCTACCACTTTGTCCGGCTACCTCCCGAAGAAACATTATATGATCCGGTAGTTCTACTGATCCCTTCAAATGAGAAAAAAATATGAAAGAATTAGAAATTTACGAACAGATTCTAAATCGTTAATGGCAACATACCAAATTATGCTTTATGTAACCAGCAAATTTACTACCCCTGTTTGATGATCCTCGACAATCACACATAAATACTGCATAACCATAATGGCAGTAGAGCTGAGCTTTCAAGAACCTGAAGTGAAGAATGGGATTAACTTCAAATTCCAAAACAGCCAAAGCTACTTATAACGTGTTAGTAGCGCACTCACAAATTCTTCAAGCAAAGACCACGGACGATTTGAACACCAGGACCGCCATAGACTAAATGCAAGGTTGGAAATCCTTGAGGAGGCTTGGTTGAAGGTTGAGGAGTGAAAAGCATTCCGTAGTAAGTTATAGTATCGGAGGCATCTTGAAAGGTATACGACATTACACGTGGACCCGTGGGGACTTGGAGCGATTGTTGCAGGATATCATGCACGTTATCTAACAAAATTGTGAAAGCAAAGATTTTAGTTGCGCTGTTCTACATTCTTTGCTTCTTAAACTTACTAATCACCATAAGATTTCATCTTTGCATCCCAATAAGACAGAGGCTACTAGCTCGATATGCGCTGGTGAATATTCAGTGATTGAAACGACCGATATAATTATAACATCACTAAAATTACCATGAACATGGCTGAGTTCTAAACCTCTATTCCCCCGTAGTTCTTCATGGAAAGGAAATATTCTCCACCCCTCTCACCTCAATGTTCCCGACACTTGGTTAAGGTAGAGAGAAGATATCCTGGAACCGTTACTACAACAAACTCGCTCGTTTCAACTCCTATTGTTGACCAAAGCCAATAAATGCGATTAGCCAAGCACAGCACTGTAAGTGCCTAGATGGGCATTGATCACGTGACTTCACAGCTACCAGACGAGAACACTATCGGCGCAAAACTCATGAAATATAACAAAAGTAATGTTTAAGTAAAATAATTCCATACTTACACAAAGACTTCAGAAGAGCGATGGGCTTAAGTACCGGGGTACCATCATCCTCAACAAATAGCCGAAAGAGCATTTGTCCGGGAAGGAGGCCAGGATTAGAAGCCTCTATTGCGCAAAGCCCCGAGGATTCTTCGTAGTTGAGGATGGAGTAGTAGAGTTTATCTATATCGGTTTCTGGTTCCAACTCGGAACCAAAAAACCGAAGCCAAATTCGCGATGAAGTCAGACGATGAATTTTGGCCTCTTTTTGGCTGTAGTTGACGGCGTAACTATTTTTAAAGAAAAAATGGAAACTAGTTATTTAACACGGCCCCAATTGACTGTTCTAGTGGATTACAAAGGCATTACTTGACTTACATGTTAAGAAACAGGGGATCTTCCTGATAAGATTCGAAAAGTACTAGATTGCGCGCATGGTCCACGAATATCTGAGAGCCAAAAAAGAGAAAGATGAAAGTGATTGCTCAAATACTACCCAAAGTATTATTTAAGTAGTATTCGAAATATCTCAACTAAGCTCTGTCTTTCTCAACTAAGCCCTCTCAGTTAACTCGTGGCAACAGCGAGAAAATGACTATACGTGCGAGACCATCTTCATTGGAAGGCCTAGGAGACGTAATGTGTAAGTACTCCTAACGCCAATCTACTGTAGAAAGAGGACTGTCAGGCACTATCTCCTCTTCGCGTTTTTACACGGGAGACACTTCTACTGATTTCATTAAGTAGTAGAACAGTGACAATAAAATAAGAAGTGTTAATGAGATTAACACATACTTTGCGGACTTGTTGCATCCTAAGTGAAGGCTTTCCAGGCAACTGGATTCGACCACTATTTAAGTAGTAATTAGCAGACTTACATGATTATTTAGGACATCCCAAGCGCCATGCGTTAGAGGGCAATCAGAAACGGTTTCCGCGTGCTGTGGGACAACAGACGATGATGATACATTCTGTGGAATACTTTGATGACAGATGTAGAGGTGGGCATATCCAGTGTGTCGGCTCATCCATATGTAATGGACAGACTCAGGGTCAGTGTTCAGGAAGTGAAGGCAATCGTGAACCTAGTAAACAAATACCATCAAGCATGGAAGCGCATGGAAGCTGTGGAAAAAGACAGATTTGCATTCAGACCATTCATCACCCCCTTGCTCACCGTGATGTTTATGCTTATGTTGCGCGAGATAGGGCAAACTATTACAAAGCAAATATAATCGAAGGAGAGGACCACAACACGTAAAACAATAACAGGAGGAGTGGTCGCATAAATAAAAGCAGGAAATCTAAGTCATTTGAATTCCGAATTCAGAACACATTGTCCAACTTGAGTTGCCTCTAATGATAACAAAGTGCAAATGGCAGAATAGATCACGAGTAGATCGAAATTATGCCTGCCATATTAAGAGCTTTGTAAAAAGTGATATAAACAGGTTATGCCTGCGTTGCTCACACAACACACGTTTCCGCCAATCAATCAGTAAACCAACCAACCTAAACAAACTTTTCAACTACCGCACCAAATTAATTATGGTTTGCCTGCAATAACTAAAGCACCAATATGGTATTGATGCAGATGAGAAAAAGGACCGAACCAATTCAGCGTAGAATCGTCAAGTTCACTAGCCTACAACATTTCTAACGCATTGTGAAACATCACTAAGGAGCCAAACCAAATGAATAGGGTGCTAAATAATTTTCAATCTCATTAGCAAAAACTCGTTGTGGGAAACAGATACTGTGGCCTTTTCTGAGGAATTCGCTTCCCTGTAGTATCGAGCCCTCGATCTCCAAGCTTGCAACTATGTCCACTTCGTCATCAGCACAAATGGAGCATATACGAGCTTATACTTAACTCATTAACGCCCAAATAATTTTTTTTGAAAAATGCCCCCCCCCCTTCCCCCAACCCCACTCATGCGTGTCTCTCAACAGACTGATGTCGCCGACGTGATGTGTTTGGGCAGTGTATCAGGTGAAGACTAAAGGCACGTATTGAGTCTGTTGCAAACAACAATAGCACCTTCTGTTACGAGTCCAGTGCCAATGAAGGTTATTTTGAATGAGGACCGCAGGGTCCTACTGGGCGTTAAAGGGTTAGGGTACTAATTTTCTGCAAAAAAGCCACTCAGGGCCAAATAAAGGCAGCAAGTTATAAATTAGCAAAATATGCAAACAGCCACTGAAATGGATAATAAATAAATTTCTCACCTCAACCCAATATGTCGCATCCTCTTCATCCCTCAAATGAATAAATGGCGTCCATTCGCCCTCGTAGAAGGACCGTGGGGACACCAAGAAGAGGCTCATTTTCGTTTGTAGTCGATTCGATAAAATCATCCAAAAACTACACACACGCATAAGAGTCGTATGTTGGCGAATTCCAAGAACTTACTAATTGCCATCACTGGTCCAATCACAGCGAACAAGGTACTCGTATTGGGGGAGGATTTCGAATAGAGGGGAGGGCAGGTTGTGCGATTGCACATTAGCAATCTAAAATTTGATTTGGGTGGTTAAGTCAAGAAAACCCACCTCGGAGTTCTGCTTGTCCACGCTGAAAGTGACCAATACCAAATCGGAGGTAGCATTTTTCGTACCTAACAATAAAAAGCGCATACACGAGTAAGTTCAATGTAAATTATTTTAACTATTGAACTAGTAGAGAGTACTTACCAGGCTTGGGATAGACGTGTTCTTCCACCTCCTCGCTCCACGAGGCAAAGTTCGGCAGTCTAACCGTACCCACGCCATTCGAATCCGTTTTCTCATAGATTAGACTATATTCGCCTTATAAATGAGACGTTAAGTAAGCGGCTGAATGGATCTTACCCTTGGAATTGGGTTTTGGACACCACCAAAGGCCAACATATCGATCGAATTCTTCCTGAATCACAAAGGCAGGCGTACCTGCGGTGACTACAAACAGACAAAAAGATATGCTTTGATTAACCTAAATACACCCCCCCCCCATAAATATTGACACTGCGATGACTAAAAACAACACCCTCGCATTCTTTTGAAACTTGGCAGAGGTTAGACAGGAGAGGAGGGGAGAACGACAGCGACTAGTCACCCACTTTTGATACACATCAGGTCACTTTCAGTGAATGAAAAATTAGCAGCATTGATCAAGAAAGAGGTAACAAATGTGAGGGGATATGACCACAATGCCCCACTAATATAATTTGATCAATTGGTCGCTGTTTCAAGCGTCTCAATTAACCGAGATAGGTATTCAAAAGAACACAAAATTACCCTATCAGAAGCCACAAATGGTTGATCCAATTAACCAAAAGCCCTGATTGAATCTTTTCAACGAGAGAGGTGGCAGAATGCGACCCTGAGATACCACCCCTCTATACCCTCAATGGATCCGGAAACCTACAGGAGGATTAGAGTCGAATATTTTGATACATTTGTCGATAATAGTGGACCAATAGATAGAAGGTTAATTGGAGGGTAGAAAGATCCGACAAAAGACCACCTCTTGATTTGACCTCAAGCAATTATACATGTGACCAACAGAGTTAGCTGTTTTATGAAGTAATATGATTAATATTTACTCTGTTTTACTAAACCGCCTGTTTTCAATTATTTACAACAAAAGCAGATAAGTTTACCGATTGCATTCAATGGAATAATTCCCTATTAATGCCATTAGGCTGTGTCATGACTTACCACGAGCCAGCTATTTCCACCTAATGTAGATGGTTCCAATGACAGTTGTCATTTTAATCGTTGGCTCATTTCTGGGAGTTGAGGGGTGGGGTGGGGGGGGGAATTTTGTTCATTTCTTGAATTTATTGCATAATAAACTCCTCTCAAAAGTAATCAAAATAAGGGATTTGTTGGCAGCTGCTATTCCAAAGACAAACTTTTCAACAGCAATCAACCGACTGACAACGGGTTCATGAAATTGAGAAGAACGGATTCAAACATGACATTTTAAATAATTAATATCGCATGAGTTTCCCCAACTTCTCATCCATGAAAATAAAGGCAAAAGCACTGCTATACCGATGACATTTTTTTCCGAAAATCACCCTCTTCCATCTAATGACTTGTAAAATAGACAAGAAGAACGTTTAGTAGTAATAACCGACCACGAAAATGGTTGGCCGATTTGTTGGCGATACTACATTCGAGGGCAACGGTGAGGAAAATCAATAGTCGATCACCCAATTCACAGGGGAGAGGAAGGATCTAACTTTCGTTAGTGTTCACCACGACCAAAAAAACTATTCGGATTCTTAACAGGGCTATCCCATGTTTTGAAGGGAAAAGAGAATAAAAAAAAGAGAGGAAAAGGAGTAAGCATAAATTGAAAATGTTTTATGTGGAATAAGTAGACGAAAGAAGCTCTAATTGAGAGGGTATGACAAAATGTCGTCCCCCGTGTAAACATCATCTTTGGGCATCAAGGGAGACAATAGCAGAGACGGCACAACCGAACTCTGAACATAGCAAACATGAGCTTCTACTAAGGAATCTAGCAGACGGAATACTTCGTCACATGTAGATGAATTGCGTCTATAAATGGGAAGCTCAAAACTCGATGAATCCAGAATTCAGCCTCTCTCGGTGTGTTAACTTAAATTTCCCTCTTCTATCCGATTCCTGCCTCTATTTTTTTTTGTGTTTGAACACTTCCCTGTAAATGTAAAAAACTGTCCACGTTTTTCGTCTACGCAATTGGTAATTATAGCACGGCTGAACCCAATTCAACCAATCAGATGACAAAAATCCCATCGCTTTCAGCAAAACACTTTGTGAACAGGTGTAAAGGCAAATACTGGAGTAAGGAAGAGCGATGCGTGTTTGATACGATTCGACCGAAAAGAACTATTCGCCACGGTTAAAAGACCGAGGCGGGGAACAAAGCTCATCGTGTAAGAGAAAATTTCGAAAAACAAATTCGAGAACCCCATGAGGAGCAGTATGTTTCAAGTAAAATTCAGGAGTTACCATCATCACAATGCTATTGGCGCACATTTAGTGCCCAAAATTCTGAGAAAATGAGAGTTCAAACTTATTTAGAAAACACTGTAATTTTGACTGCGCCATTTTAGAGCCACTCTTATCCAGTTGACGCCGTCTCCTTACAGGTGCCTACATTGTGGAGAGATCAGTGTGTTGATCGTATTTACAAGCATTGACTTTCCTCTCATTTTCATTCGCTGAGCGCAATTAATAGGCCATCCAAAGAATACTCTTCCTAACTGCCTACGAAACTCCACTTAACTTGTTGACGAAGGTTAAGGAGTGTAAAATCAGAGAGGGCAATCACGAGATGTGCTCTAGGCATTATTTTACAAAGGTTATATATTGTTCTCTACAAGTAGGATTCAAAATAAATAAAACGAGCACAACAAATGTATATGGGGCTAAATAAGTAGGTCTAAACATAAGCATAAATTGAGAAACTTATTGACCTTGTTCAGTTCAATGAAGTTCATGTCTACCAATAAATATTCCCCCCCCCCTCAAAAGTCATAAGGAGAACGTATCGATTGCATTTGTGATAAAACAATTCATGGCAAAGCCTCTGTCTTCTCACAGCGTCCTCATTGTGATTGAGTTAATAAAGCTGGCATTTCAACACTTTGAGAAAAGTTATAAATTAATCTTGGAAGCTAAAATTCTCCATTCCCACTGCTTAACAAGACTAAATAAAGTAGCATGCCACATTTTCAACAAGTTAGTCACAAAAAACATCTCCACTTGCCTCATGACGAAAATAACATCGCACCTAAAACACTTCAAAAGCGAAGGAGATAAAGGAAATAAGACAAAAAGGGTTATAGACATCGCTTGGTAGATTATTTTAAAATCATCCAATAACGAATTCGAATGAGATGGGCCATAAAAGTTGTGGTTATCCTCGTAGAGAATGCGGCTAGTGCAAATTAGTAGAGCGATGGGAGAGGGACACATTTCCAATCAGAGGGGCTTTCAGAACTTGTACCCTAAACCATTCATTTCTCAGAGCCATACGAAAATTGTGACCAAAATTTACACCAAGATGGGATGAACAATCGCTTGCATATTGTACAAAAATGATACCAACTAACAATCAGTTCAGATAGAAATGGCTTGCGCTCACAAAAATAGCATGAATCAACTTTCTTTATACAAAAGTATAAATTTTAGTAATGCTGAATGCAAACAATCCACACTGCCTTACTGCAATTCAAATCAAGAGGTAACACATATAAAAGACTTTAAATTTACCTTTTGGGTCTGTAATATTCGTAAGGTGAATGAAATTGGAGGCGAGGGAATGAGAAACTGCTATATTATTTTCAGTCACATAGGCAATAAGAGTGGCATTGAATGGACATACGATTGGTTGGACCACTGATTCATCACTCGCAAGAATACTCAAGGAACATTTGGATGGCTAAAATGAGCATATTATAAGAAGTGGGAAAGTTGTTTGATGATCCGCAAACGAGTCTCACCTGGGCTGAAGGAGAACACCAGCTGTGATCCGTGAATTGAACAAGTTTCCCAGAAACAGAAATAAGAAAAGTGCCCGTCTGGGGGTCCAATTTAACATCCGAGGGATTAAAAGTCCCACACCGCATACGTTCACGTAAGAGACTATCGGCGAGATTATTATTTGGTCCACTTCTAATATCTTGAAAGGCTTCATTGGATAGGAGTGGTGCAAAAGAACGGATGTGTTGAGTCGGGAAAGGAATAGGATCAATGTCAAAATCAGCGTATAAGATATTAGCCCTTCCAAATATAGATTTAAGGCTCAGGAAATAAGTTCGGCACTTTGTGCAATCCTTAATTATACACAAAACATTATAAATACAGCAATTTAACCCACCTTAGAAGACCTTAAATTAATAAAGTGTTCATTGGAATGCTTATCAGTTTTAGTTGAGGAAATAAAACTACGATAGAATGAGACAAAGCCTCTTGTTTCTTCCTTTGGGGAAAGCACAGCGGACTTCATTTATAACGAAAGTACTAAAAAGGAAGAAATGAATTCGCTAGAAAGCGCAATCAACCTCAAATAATAAATTAATTAAATCGAAATTACATCTTGTTTGTAACAATCAATTATTGTGACACTAAAATATATCTGGAATATTATGAAAAATCCTTAGTTTGCCTATAAATTAATCACAATAAAATAAAAAGTTAAATCATGAAAACTCCAGTTAGGACAGTTAAAGCATAAAAAATTACGTAAAGAAACTAATTTTTCACAAATTTACCTTTAATAATACACTAATCGGTTAAAAAGTGATAATCTTGAAACCAAGGTCATTCAATCTCACTATTTATATCATTTTTTGCATAACGCATTTTGTTACAAATTTTGTCATTACTTAAGACATTTAAATACTTTATAATTTATGCTTACAAGTAATGAGATGTTTTGAATTGTTTCTTATGCATTTTGATAATTGGGGGTTATCGGAAGTATTATTGTTTTATGTTCAACAGAGTTTGGAGCTAATTGCAAATACCATAAAGTCTGCAATTTTAAATAATTCTTAACAAATCATGCACGTTTTTAGTTCTCCAAGAAGAAATTAGCGAATCGTTTAAGACGCTATTTCTACCTTGAATTTGTATTTTGCGAGGGAAGCATTAAGTGGCTGTTTTGTTTTGGTAAAGGTTTGTTTAGAAATGTTACTGGTGTATTTGAAACACCGCAGATTTTAGACTCATATGAAACCTCTTTGCTTTCTGATTGAGAATACCAATATACGAAATTTTTTGAAAATTGTGAAAGAACAAATTATGTATAACGTTGGACTCATCAATATTCCGTATCTCACGTTTAAAATATTTCAATCCATTATAAATTCTCTGAAGCCATTTACTCCTAATATATGTCTCTACATTTAAATGGCTGCAACATTTTTATATTTTTCTACTCCGCCAATCATTATCAATTTAAGTTTTATTTATTTATTTATTACCCCAAAATTGTGGAATACTCAACACATGATTCATTTGTGCATCCGTACATTTTGGAAGGTGAGGCCTTGTGCGCAGAGAACTTCTCAGATAGTCACCTATTCATGTCAATTCAATTTAGGCTAGATGTATTTAAATACTCATCATGTTTGCCGAGATCGTAGAATATCACTGAGTATTTAAAACCCACCCAATGGCGTCTTTTTGAATATGTTGCCAAAAAACTTTGAAAAACTTGGGCCTTATTTATTAAATTAGGTTGGGTACGCAAATCATGTTTTGAACTAGTTTTCAACCGAAATGGTTGATGAGAGATGACTAGCGATTTCTACTTCATCCTTAAAATTCGATGACACTATGATTGCTGCCCTCTTCTTTTCAGTCGTTTTCCTAGTTTTGAGCTTCTTTTACAATTGTACGATGAAATTTTGTCTAATCTCTACTTCTGACTTGAAAACAGTTTCTTTTTGTTATTACTATTGACGACTGCACCACAGTCCATAACTCCATATAGTCACATATCTTAATTTCGTTCGACATGGTGCAGAGTTAATATTTAATTTTCGTTCATAAGAAGTCGATCCATCCGAGTCTTAGATGGTCTGATATATAACCTACCAGGTAATTTTTCAGTGCTTGTGTGGCTCTGATAGTGCAATTTAAACCCATTTAGGATTCAAAAAATATGAAATCATAAAAAATTAATTTATTATAAATAAAATTCATATATGAACAATCGAGAAATGTTAACTCCTTACTCAACAAATTAAGAGTGAAATCTTTAATACAGAATTTGAAAGAAAGATTAGGAATTACATGTCCATTTCTGAATGTGCAAAAACAAAATCAAGCAGAGCATAAACAAATCGATTCGTAGACTACATCCCTGGCACTTCAGTTCAGCAAATGTACCCTCGGTTGCAATAGATGATTCTAGAATTTAAGTAAACACGGGTATTTTTAGGTGCTTGGTAAAATAACAAATCTAAAAAATCCTATTTTACTTAAGAACCAGTCAATCTTTTTCACATTTAAGTGACCAAACACTTACCGTTTAAAATATATTCTGTTACCACGTTTCCGAGAGAATTATGAGCATTGCAGACATACGTTTTATTCAAATCGGACCGCAATATTGGATTAAAATTGAGCACCAAGAATCTAGTATTTCCTCCGTTCAAATAGACGAGTTGAATTCTACAGAGTGAATGGAAAACCTAGACGTCTGGCCTGTATGAGCTTACTACAGGTGATATTTCAGCGAACTTACCGACTATTGGGAAGAATTACAGTTGGTGGAGTTCCAACGCTCCATGAAATTTCTGTTACATCTGAAGCAGGGTTAGCCAAAACTTCACAGTAGAGATGGACATTGCATGGATTCTGAATTATTGGTACACTAACATATACCTTCGATATTGGCTTGTCTTAAAAAAGCGCTTGAACAATTGTGAACAAATCTTACGTCGAACAGCAACTATGACTGGCCAATAATCGACACCCAGTCTATTTTCTGCCATGCACATATACTCTCCGGCGTCTTGTGGCAAAACGGAAGTGAATTCAATAGTCTCCCCCTTTTGCAAAATGAAATTATCATGAACATGGATATGTAGATCTTACTGGTTTACTTATGCCATAGTTACGAATGATACTACTAGATCCGCCAGTTCTAGTCCAATATGTGACCGGAGTGGGAATTCCAGCGGCTTGACAGCGAAGTACCATCCGATCACCTTCGGTAACGGTAGTTGTATATGATGACTGAAAAGGCAATACTTTTGCTTGAGCTATCAGAATTAGTTAAAACAAAGTACACTACTTACATACTACCCGCAGTATGCGTTCAGCCCTTGCTGGTTCAACTGAACCAGTATATTGACAATCACATGTGTAATGCCCAGCATAAGTTTCATCAACAACTAAAATCTCCAATCTACAAATATAATAAATGAATGTTTACTTAATAACCTGATAGAATTAGTCTGCTTTCCTTGGCCAATTTTCCACCGAGACATATCTCTGGACATTAATCCATCATTAACTGTTTCGGTTACTGATCCGTCGAAACTGACCCGTCGCCATATAATCTTGACAAAAATCGTAAGTAAAAGAACATACTCGAGCAATCGGAATCATGTTAAAGACGTTACAAATAAATATAACACTCTCTCCCATTAAAGCTTCAACGACTACGGTTTTATTGGGAAAAGTCTCTATTCTTCCGGTGTCGACTGACGGTTTTTCATTATATATTGAAACATCCGGAGTAATAACAATTTCATTTTCTGAAAAATTTAATTATATTTCGAACTTACGGCCGAAAGTAAAATAATTTTGATTCACGAATATTATAATGAATATAATTTGTATCAGATTGTCGTAAAACATATTAAAATGGTTCGCATAAATTATAAATTTTTATGATTAATACAAACACTATAAGGACGTTCATCAGAAATTAAGAAGCGTTAAAACATTTGCTTAGTTTAATGAAGTATTAAAATTTATCGCGTTTAAGAAAAATCTAAAACTTAATCAATGTTATGAAAATTACTTTTTGAATCATTTTAGAAATGATGGCTGTTTGAAATATTGGTTACATTGAATAACAGATAGTACATCACTATCAAAGAACTTTATAGATCAACAATAATTTAAAATTAATTCAAGTTTATTCTAAAATCACATTTTAATTAATCGAATTCTTTTCTTGGGCAGATATATTTATTTCCCCATTTATATCTGAACCTCTTAAAGAATATTACAATGAAGCAGTAATTGCTATGTCTCTTTGAAACCTTAATTCATCACCTTAATCTTTTGCGATCGGTGCTTTATTTAAGCATTTAGATATGGCTCAAAAGAATTAATAATGCGAATTTGTATTCGCATTAGCTTGTTCTTTATGCGAGATTCAACTAGAAATGTTGAAAACGCGAAAATTCTCCATTTTGCACTAACTTAATGTCCATCATATTAAGCAAATCGTAATAATCTGATTCTGAATTTAGAAAATGTTTCTATAACGTACTTGATTATGTTAAAGTTATTTGGGAACCTTCTTTCATGGTAAGCCTAATGGTATTAGAATGAACTTCTGAAAATCAAGTAGGCCTAAATTTATGAATCGAAATTATTTCATTTTGGCTGCGATATTTTGGTGCTTTCCTTCAAATGTTTCACTTCTCTTGAATTTGAATCTGTGTTCTTCAATTTTGCGGCAATTCTTTTACTCATTTACCAATGGTGTATTTTAATTTAAAAATTAGAAAAAATATGTAGTCTGATTTTTTTATAACTGGCATGGGGTTTGCGATCGACCTACCTCCACGTGGTGCACCCTGGGCAACGCATACTCATGCGGCAAAAAGGTCTATTGTTCGGCAGTTGACTTCTGACTTCACAAAAAGGTCTATTGTTCGGCAGTTGACTTCTGACTCCATGTCATATTCGATCATTTTCACAGAACTCACCTCACCTTTTTTTCTACCTTTGTGTCTGTGTCTCTTACATATTTGAAGCACCCTTCTGCCCCCCCCCCCTTCTCGACTTTTTTCCTCTCTGTGAAGCCTGAAGTCAACTAAAGGGCTAATGATAACTTTCAAAACGCCTGCCATTTGATATAAATAAATATAACTGGTATGATTTCAATGAACTGATAAATACACAAAAATGAACAATAAACAAAGGCATTACTCTTTTGAAGGGATGATAAGCACTGAACGGACAACTTGCTAGGTTTTTACCCTCTAAGCTTCTACAACTTAATAAACTAAAACAAATTATCAATAGTAGTGTGCTTCGAAATCATACTGTGAGGTAGCCGGGAACTATTTGAGTGAAAAAGTCTAGAATAAAAGATCATTAGGGCTCTTCGCGCATTTAGTGACGTGGTTAACACCTTAAAGATGAGTAATAGCACGATCTTTGACATTATCGATAATAGTTCAACAACACAATTCTCACAATTTTTATAAGCATTTATTTACAAGGCTTCATGTATGTGAAAAAAATTTCGGAAATTTTTGAAATCAAGCAATTTAAAATATGAAGAAGTGACAATTACCACTCTAAAATAGAGTAACTTTACTCCTAATTCACTTTGAGTGTAGTTTCGGAAGAGCAAAGTAAACTGTTTAGGCATGCGAATTCCAGAACAGATTTCTCTAAACCTCTCCTGTTACTTTTCCAAAGTTTTCTATGTGCCTGAAAGCAACAAACTTTTCGTACTTCTATGCCAATCGTCTGTCTTGTGTTGGCGATAATTATTGAAAGGGAACAGACCCAATAGGAGCCAAGAAGTAGAATGACAGCCTTGGGAATTCCTATCCCAATGGATTTCCTTTGAGATATTTCAATTATTACCAAACATTATTATTATTATTATATACCCCAGCAAACAGGCTAATTTTGCTTCAAAATTAACCGATTTCCGGTCTTGTTACGCATTGAGACTGTAGACTGGCCTACTTAATGGTAAATATACCATAGCAGAAGAAGCTAGGCTTGACGTCACTACAAAATGACAAAAGAAACATTAAAACGGAACTTTAAGAGGGAAAATGTGTGTGCGTATGTGTGCGTGTGTGCAAAAAATCGTATTTACCCTACAATCATTCATTGATCGCCAAAACTCGGTGGAGCCAAAAAAAAGCAATAGCATTCAAAGTAACTATCAAAACAATTTACTTCAACGAATTCGCACAAAAAGCAAACAGCAAAACCAAATCGCAAAGAGCACAGAATAGCAAATGAGAAGAAAGAATGAAGTACCACAGCACACTAGCAAGTCGCACAAATAGTATCACAATTATAGCTCGGTGCCTGGGTAGCGGCACACACATCGTGCTCCCCGTGCGGTTCAAGTGCTGGGACCATAGTAGGGCGGAGCTTGTGGTTGACTATAGGGCGGAGAAGTTGCCGAATTATTTCCATTCATAGAGGACTGAAAAAAAAACAAAATGAAACAAATCACATTAATTTAATGATTGATAAGAGGTAGACGCACATACAGAGTAGGGGGGTAAATAGCATGCTGAACACAGGACAAACAAATGAAAAAAATAACATGCAGAATACAAGATGTTAGTACGACGAAACCTACTGAATTAGGATAGTAAGTTAGTTTCGGCCAATAGAGGGATGGCTGGAACAAAATAAATTGTATTAATGCAACACGGGTTTCCTATACCAAGTGCCACCCCCCCCCCCCCCCCCTCCATATTGTTATACATGAGAGATTCGAAATTGAACATGCTCTATAGACCAACGAGAAGGAATCGAGAATGTCATGTCTAACATTTCCAAGGTGGTTAATATTGAAGATAATAGAACACATGAATTCAACTCCTACTACTCGTCTTCATGACTGCGTCAATTCTTTCGGGGGTATAAATGAGTTTAGGCACAAACACCATATGCGTACTCCAACAATGAATCCCAAGCCCATGGCAAAGTGGAGTGTGCATTCTAATTAGTGATTAATCAAATATTATTAATCTGAACCATTAAAAGTACAAACTGGTTAGAGGCAAGTAAGTGGAAAAGGCCAAAATCTATTCAAACTGTATTAGAACTGCATGCACACACGAGTTACTGTTATTCAAAAGCACACACAGAAGCAAGAGGAGAATTGGAGGTAAAGTTACTTCGGGCTGCTAAAATTAAACATGTAATGCACATATTAGATGAGATTTATCGCCCTAAGGGTTAGGCAGATATGCCAATTGACCAAACAATTCAAATAGGGGCAGGATATCCATCAACCCCCCCCCCCCCCCCCCCCCACCCCCGAAGGAGAAATGAATCGCACTGGAATAAAACGAGATAGACGAGTTAAAATGGGGTATTATAGGGAGGATTGGTTCAAAGTAAACTATTGGGGTCATTTCAACTTGGATATATGATATTCTGTCGTGGAAATAGCCTGACCTAAGTATGAGACGCGTAGAGAGGAAGGAACAAGCCGCGAACGTCCTCGAACAATGAATGCGTGATAGACATGACAATTCAACCATACGAGGTACTCAATGACCTCGTTTATTTCTATCATTAAACGAATTTGGGAGGGCTAAGCAATGCTTTGAAGTGCACCGAAAGTACAGTTAATCAACTCTGACCAAGCACAGCCCCGACAAAAGCCAATTCCAATGTATAAGTATATTTCAAATTGCAATAAGCACCGTATGAGAGTGTCTGGTCTGGAAAATAAGCTAGTAAACACTCTCATATTGTCTCAAGTTACAAAGAGGTATTAAAAAGAATAGTCAATTGAATATGAAATCACCAAATTTCAGTCTAAATTTACAGTAAATTTGGTACTGAACGCTACAGAACAAATAGAGAAGGCAAGTAACATTAAACGTGACTATTAATACTGACCGTTTGCCAAAACGGACGCTAAACTATGGCTCAGATAATGTCATTAGCTCTAAATACAGGAAGCGCTAACCGGTTGACTTTCAAAAATGTTAATCGGAGTTGGATTTGAGCGCCTAAAATGAGTAGGAGATGTGGGATTTACATGCAATTAAAAGGATAAATATAGACCTTCATTCTCTCAATTGAAAAAGAAAATCCATATATCGAGATTCTGTAAAAGTGGAAATACAAATTCAAAATCCACGATTCCCCTCCTCCTGCCAGAAGCGTATTTGCGTGAATACAAGGGTAGAAGAAACCTCTGGTAAGTCCTTACGAGGTAAGATTGGGTAGGTAAAGGCAACGGGAGAGAGAAGGGAAAAGGAGAGAGAGAGATCACTTCCCTTCTCTAATCGATGGATTAGGTAGATTTTGGTATTTCGGGACTTAAATTTACAGATTGATCAGGAATTCGGGTGGGATTCAACAAATAACACAAACTACCAAAGGAATAAAGGCCTATTATTAAGTAAGCGAGAGCTACAATTTTATTATCCCGAGTTAGGTTCAACAAGAGGGGGAGGGGAGAGCGGGAGGCAAACTTATAGATATAGACCACTTTGATCGCCTCCACAAGGCGTAGGTATCATCGAATTATAAAAAATGAGAGAGAGAGAGTTCTAAACGCCCATCCCCCCCCCCCCCCCCCCCCCCCCCCCCCACCCCACCCTACCCCTTTTTATAAAAGGTAAAAAAATTGAGACGAACAATGTCGATGCACTTGAACGAAGTTCGCAGGCCACATTCTGTGAAAATAATTGACAAATAAGGTAACTTATCACCTTTCAGTGAGCTTAACACATTAAAAGCAGTCATTTTCTCAATACTGAGGCAATTTTTTGAGCTATAGGTATTTATTCTTCCTCATTTTTACCCCGCGTTACTGTAGCTAATATTTCCTTGCTGTTTTTTGGGCGCCTAGAGATATCGAAGGCACAAAACTAGGTTGTTATCAATGACGATATAGGTTCATGATGAGAAAAAGTTTCTTCACAAATCTATTTCCCGACATTGCTCTGGCGAAGGTTAAAGCTTATATCAGAAATTAACCAACATTTGAAGAAAAAAACTTCAAATGTATATTTGGAGACAGATCATACAAAAGAATGCGCCTTTATTCAAACATGTGAGACGGCTCTAGAAAGAGGTCAAGAAATTCAATTCAAGTAATCGATGGACGCACACAATAGCTGGTTAACAATGCAATGAAATATTACACGAGCGACAGACAAAACTATTGCCAAATTAAAACTATGACCTGAGATAGAGAGGTGGTACCCACTTAATGATAAAATAAACCAGAATGAAAACCCGAGGCTTTAGCGGATAGAGTTAAAGTCTAATTCAATAGAGTAAATGAAGAGCAAAGATTAATTACATGTTGTACACACCGAGAATTGTACGTTATAAAGGAATAATAACAATACAACCTGCCTTAATCATAAAGTGGCATAAGATTACCACAATCTTAACACAAAACCATTAACTTGGAATATCCTTCAAAGGTTTTAACAATCGACATTTAATAACATTTTGTAGCTTTTGTAAAATCAGAATTTATCACAATTATTTCATAAACAAACATTTTATTATGTATTAGGTGATCATTCCGAATATAACAATTTATATAAAATATTAAAGGGAGTCAGGTGTCAAATAAAACTAGAATTACATCTATTTTTTAACGCCTTTTTAAGGCGAAATTGTCAAATTCTCACATTTAAATGCAAGGTCAAATATTGCACACACCCCATGAGCTTGTATTATGACGCGAATAATAATTTTGATGAAAAAAACTGACGGCAGCGAATGACTCCTTTCATCAATATATCTAAAGCAGAATATATACTTACCTTCACTGATTTAACGAAGTTTGAAACGTTGCTATTCACCGTTTTGTAGGCATTCGTTTGTCTATTTGGAAGAAAAAGAAAATTTAAACTCGGTATAAATTGAAACATCCCAAATTAAAAACAATTCTGTTACTTACGTCACATTATTCCATTGCTTCGTCACCGCGCTCTTAACAGTGGTGAATCTAGAAGTTAGAAAAGAAACCATACGAAATGTACAGCAAACAATCGCTTCAAATAAACACAATCAGTTCGAGCAGATCATTTAGATATAGTTTGAATGTGAGATTAAGCAGTAACATTGATTAAGAGAATGCCTTGATATTAGCGAAACTTAACCAACTGGCTTACGCTTTAGACTGGGCTACCGAGTGAGCGGTTCTTCTGATGTCATCTTTGACAACGTCAAGGCCGTATACTCCAAGATCACGCTTTAATTGGGCGACTCGCTCTTGTTTTGAAGCTAGAACAGCCCGTAAAGTAGCAATTTCATCTTCAACCTATTGAACAGTTATTCAAACACACCAGAAAAACCAACTTTTCGAAGTTCATCTTCCATTTCGGCTCGAGTTGGTACAGTAATGGCAGGATCTACTGGAGTATAAGGAGGCGGCATTGGTGGAGCAGTTGGCAGAGTTGGGTAGATACCCACTTTTTCGTTCTCTTTTATAAGAAATAGAACATTAACAAAAATTAATTCAAACTCGGAGACATAAGCTTTTATTTATTCATGACAATGAAATAAACGCTTACCGTTAGGGTAGACAGCGGACATCTCGGATTACAATTGGAATGTGCGCAGTTAGGCTCACAGCTAGACAACTTTAGACCTTGAAGCAGGCTAAAACTATAACAAGTGAGTTCTTTCTTAATTGAATTCGTTAATTTCTACAAAATTCTAAAAAAATTATACATATATTGGTATAGTTTATTAGATTATTTCTAAATCAATATTTTTATTTTTCAGCAGAGTTTTTCTATAAGTGACTATAAGCATTGCGCTAGATTAAACTCTGAATTGATGGAAAAATGTATATTTTAGAATATTTGAAGTGGAAAAAACTCTTATAAACGGTTATTTTTTACATAAACTCAAGAGTATTAATGCTTTTTCAACCATAAGTCTTTTTGATTTCAAAATAAATGGTTAGTATAATCAGTTGTGGAGTATTGAACACTAGGTTTGACATTCTTTATAGATTCTTTCCATTTTTGTCGTGCGCTTTTTGATGTGTGCTTTGCGCGAATTCACTTTTCATAACACGTTTAGATTTTTGTAGATATTGCGCGTTTCCTATAATAAGATGCATATAAGCTGATAATGGTAAAGTTTACTATGACTGCAAGGGATCAATTAAAATTGAATTAAAATTATTAAGAGCTGATTTTTTCCATATTTACTTAACTAGTTTGCTAGTGTCACCCCAATAAGTATATCTAGTAATAATGATTCCCTGATTTAATATCTAGAATATGCATAAATGCAATAAAGTTCGTTGCCATAAAAGTGAACTGACAAATTTAAAAATAATGACCTTTAGTAATGCTTATTGAAAAATGTTTTGATTATTATTTTGATTACAAGTCCTGAAAGTGAACAATTTAAATGGTAGTCATCAATGGTCCTTTGGAATAACTGTGACCAATGCAGAATAAAATTATCCCCGTGACTTCATCCAGCAAAGGCATTCAATTTTATTCCCATTCTGTTCAGGTACTTTCTAGTGACTAAAAACAGGGCAATAATATATTGCAACATTGGCATCAAATCTATTCATACCATTCAGACGGTTCAATGTTCGTTCAATTTCAAATTAAGCACTAATGTCCATTAGCAGGAACACATATGTACACAGTCTCTTTTACTTTAATTCACTGCCCTTATCTGTTCAAACATAATCGAACTTATGAATAAACTTTTAAAATTCATGCTTTTTAGTGAGACAGTAAGGTATAAATTTTATTTTACGAAGAAATATCACGATAAGAAAGAAGTGCACACTTTCTCTGGATTGCATGAAAGTGGTGGGGATGGGGGGGGGGTATTGGCACCTTACCTCACCTTCACTTGAGAAAATTCGATAATAAAATGCTATTCAAAGTACTTTTGGCCAAACATCAAATCTATTTCCTAATGCTATTGATCGTAGCTTTGTTACTCTTAAGATGTGATTGACCCCATCTAGTCTACCCTGTGGCCAAAATAAAAAGGACTTGTTGAATTTTTTATTGAAATTCATTAAGAGCAATTGCAACGCTTGTTGTAATCCACTGAGTGCTCAGTATGTTGCTATTCATGGTATTCTGTGGGCAAAAATTTAAATAAAAATAAAATATAAAGTTACATTTCTGTTTTCACGGGAGACCAATCTTTTCTTTGCCACTGGAATCTTTAAAATTTGTTCAAAGCGCCTTCGACAACAGTTCTTCACCATTGAAAATCAGAATCTAGAGCAATTGTCACGTAAGTTCTTCTAAAACTTAGCTTTTAAGTATTGCCTCCCGCAACTTGAGTTATTCATATTGGAAGGTTTGAAGACTGAAGAGAATAATAAGCCTTGATGTATGCGCAGTAATCTCTATTGTACGTTCTCCTCGCTTGAAATGGTTCCCAGAAGTAGGTAAGCTACTCCAAAGCTATAAAGGAAGCAGTCGTATTGCGTGGAATATACTTATTTGGGCTATATCACTGGCACGGAGCTTATTCATCATAATAATTTATTTATGTCAAATGGCAGGCGTTTTGATAGTTATCATTAGCCTTTTAGTTGACTTCAGGCTTCACAGAGAGGAGGAGGCACATCAAAGGGACAAAAAGTCGAGAGGGGGAACAGAAGAGTGATTCACAGATGTAAAAGAGACAGGCATAAGAAAGGTAAGATGAGTACTATGGAAAGGTCGAATATGACAAATAGTCGGGCCATAGTAGTTTGAAGTCAGGAGTCAACTGCCGGTTAATAGACATTTTTGCCGTATAATCTGTGGATGGGGCCGAATATGACAAATAGTCGGGCCATAGTAGTTTGAAGTCAGGAGTCAACTGCCGGTTAATAGACATTTTTGCCGTATGAGTATACGTTACCCAGGGTACACCACGTGGAGGTAAATCTATTGCACACCCCTCATTATAATAATAATGAATGGCTCGTTAAACATTGCAGAGACTATTGGCTAGTGACTGATTGAGAGGTCTCTGTGCTCATAACCGTACTTGCTCCCTACGCGACAAGTAGCACGATCGCACCTTGGAGTCTGTCTAAGCGCGAATGGGCTTTTTCCAGCCATGACAGGGTTGGACACACCATATGACCGAGGTAACCAGTTTTAGCTCTCCCTTTTGAGAGGCAAACTTCAATTTCCACCTACAGATTAGCATTTTTGAAGACACTTTGACTTAATTTGCTTACTATTAATAGTTGGATGAGAAATAGCGGCCGACTACACTTTCATTGAATTTTATTATAACTTTTGCCAAGTCGCACTCTTTTGATTAGCTCCTATTGCTAATAAAATGATATAAAATTTAATTTTGTTTAAATTATCGTTTAAGTAGTGCAGCATTTGACATATCACGATCGTCTTGATGATGCAGTTAAAAATGATCTGCTTGAATGTTTTCAGGCGAATGCCTCCATACAAAATCTTATTTCTGACTTTTACTGCTTTAATGCCATCATTTCGATACTTGTCTCCAGACTTTTCTATTAAACTTAAATACTTAATTAATTAAATACTTTTAACCAATCATATTTCATTGGAGTTCTTCAAGCGAGAACCCCATTAAAATTTGCATTTTTCCTGTTGAAGTTAAATTCCACTGGAAAATGAAACTTCCGCGTTCTACCTGTTACAATTGGGCCTCAACATCCGTTATGATTCAAGTTCAAGCAACCATTGGTGGCGCTGAAGCTTTTAATAAAGTGATTATTTCAGGCCGCCAATGAATGCAAGTTTTCAATGTGGAAACAAATTTATTCCGAGAGTGAAAAGCACTATGAAGCATTCGTATCACTGGCATGAAATTTGCCTATTGCAGCTTGTGCTAAAATGTTACTCACTACTTTCGATTGACATTTATAGTGTAAAGGAATTATTATTAAGCTACATGGGTTGTGTGATAGACTTACCTCCAAGTGGTGCACCCTGGACAATGTATACTCATACGGCAAAAAGTCTATTAACTGGCAGCATTCTCATACGGCAAAAAAGTCTATTAACCGGCATTTGACATGACTTCAAACTACAATCACCCCACTGTATGTCAAATTCGACTACTAGCTTCAAAGACAAAAAAGTCTATTGATCGGCAGTTGACTTCTGACTTGCAAAAAGTCTATTGATCGGCAGTTGACTTCTGACTTCAAACTACCATCACCCCACTCTATTACTTTAACGGTACAAGTCTATTAATCGGCAGTTGACTTCTGACTTCAATTACCATCAAGTCTATCAACCGGCAGTTGACTTCTGACTTCAAACTACGTCTATCAACCGGCAGTTGACTTCTCACTTCAAACTACCAATCAGCCCGACTGCTTGTCATATTCAACCCCTTCAACAGCACTCGCCCCACTGTATGTCATATTCGACTACTTCCACAGTACTCGCTGACTCCATGTCATATTCGATCATTTTCACAGTACTCACACAAACCGGCAGTTGACTTCTGACTTCAAACTACCATGACCACAAGTCTATCAACCGGCAGTTGACTTCTGACTTCAAACTACAATGAGCCGACTATTGCCCCATCCACAGAACTCATCTTACCTTTTTTATGCATTTATGTCTTTCTGTCTCACTTCAAACTACTATGGCCCGACTATTTGTCATATTCGACCCCGTTCACAGTACTCATCTTACCCTTTTTATGCCTTTGTGTCTGTCTGTCTGTCTCTTTTAAAGTAATCAGCCCGACTGCTTGTCATATTCAACCCCTTCAACAGCACTCGCCCCACTGTATGTCATATTCGACTACTTCCACAGTACTCGCTGACTCCATGTCATATTCGATCATTTTCACAGTACTCACACAAACCGGCAGTTGACTTCTGACTTCAAACTACCATGACCCCCTGGGTAACGTATACTCATACGGCAAAATCTATTTGTGCGCCCTGGGCAACGTATACTCATATGGCAAAAAAGTCTATTACCTACGCCCTGGGCAACGTATACTCATACGGCAAAAAGTCTATTAATATGGCTATTGACTTCTGACTTCAAACTACCATCACCCCATTGTATGGCAGTGACTTCTGACCCCACTGTATGTCATATTCGACTAAGGCAGTTGACTTCTCACTTCAAACTACCATCACCTCACTTATGTCATATTCGACCCCTTTCACAGTAATCATCTTACCTTACTGTGTCATATTCGACTACTTCCACAGTACTCACCTCACCTACAGTTGACTTCTCACTTCAAACTACCATGACCCCACTGTACGGTAGTTGACTTCTGACTTCAAAGACAAAAAAGTCTATTGATCGGCAGTTGACTTCTGACTTGCAAAAAGTCTATTGATCGGCAGTTGACTTCTGACTTCAAACTACCATCACCCCACTCTATATCATATTCGACTATTTTTACAGTACTCACCTCACCTTTGTCCATATTCGACCATTTCACAGTACTCACCTCACCTTTTTTCTTAAATTCGACCACTTCAACAGTACTCATCTTACCTTTTCTCTTCGACTTCTCACTTCAAACTACCATCACCCCACTGTATGTCAAATTCGACCCCTTCCACAGTACTCACCTCACCTTTGCTCTACTGTCGACTTCTTCCACAGTACTAACCTCACCTTTTTTCTACCTATTTCTCACTTCAAACTACCATCACCCCACTGTATGTCATATACCTCTGACTTCAAACTACCATCACCCCACTGTATGTCATATTTCACCACTTCCACAGTACTCACCTCGCCTTTTTTCTACCTTCAGTTGACTCTAGCTACCATGACCCACTGTATGGCATATTAGTCTACTTCCACAGTACTCACCTCACCTTTTTTCTACCTCTGAGTCTGTATACTTCCACAGTACTCATCTTACCTTTTTCATACCTTCGTCTTTGAAACACTCTTCTGTTCTCCCTCTCGATTTTTTCAATTTGATGTTCCTTCCCCTCTGTGAAGCCTGAAGTCAACTAAAGGGCTTATGATATCTTTCAAAACGCCTGCCATTTGATATAAATAAATAAATAAATTATTGAGCTACATCAACTCATAGTTTGAGCACTTATGAATAGGACCTTGAAGTGTATCTCCACATTAATAGATTAGTGCGAATCAATAGGTCTGCAAATTGGAAATAATGCATTGAATAAGTTTGAATAATTAAATGAGAAATTTATATATCTGTGCTTATAGGTGTAGCGACTTAATACTATTTCACTTAATTATTTAGTTAATGTGGTGCAGAGTTTCTGTCAGTGTTGTCTGATCCCGATGTGACCATAATTATAGAAAATTTATTCTTCTCATAACCTTTTGAAAGTGTTAAAGTGATAACCTTCTTCATAGGTAACAGCTGTATTAGCTTGAAATTAAAATCGATTAAGGTCTAGATTTATAATCGAACATAACAAGTGGAGGTTTGAGCGAGATCATTTCCTCCTTATTCCCAAAAAGTGAATAAGTGCATCATTTCCAAAGCTAAATATAGATTTTTTGATCGAAGTGTTCAATTGGGCCAATCGGAGCCAATAGTTAATATTTAATTAAAAAAAAACAGCTAATAAATGTAAATAAATTAATAAATTATCAAACTTTATCCCACTTACCAAAATAGTCTATGACCAATTATTACAAATTCGTTAAGCAAATCATCATCGCATCTTAAGCTTAATAAGCTTTACAGAAATGCCGTTTTAGATAAGATTAATACCATTTTTTAACTCTACTGGTCAAAACAAAATCTGAGATATCCCATAGACCCTACATCACCCACAACTCAATAAGAGACTGAATTGTTCCCCAGTTCCAAATAAAATAAGCAGTTTATTTTATTTATTTTTGGAAATGGTTTATAATTCAAAGTTCCAATTCATAATTTATTGCCCTTCAGGGAGTTTTCCCTTAAGATAAAAATTTTTCTGCCAAAGAGGCATTAAGTGGGTGAAGTCCATTTATATAACGACATTTTCTCTTGTAAATTTCAATGCTCTTCCTACTTCTGATTCTTCTTCTTCTGCTTCTTCTTCTTCTCCATTTGGCGAAAGAATAAGTGATATATTGCCTTTCTAATGAACATAAATTTATGTATTTCATGAAATAGGAATAACATGCAATGTTTCCCCAATTACATTTGATAAATGCTAAAGTTGCCCAACTTATACAATTCGAGCCAACTTCAAAAATTAACATTATATCTGGAATAAGTTTAATGTATATTTGCAATTAATCAATTTTTCAGGAAAACCAAAATATGATTTATAGAATAGAATGTCATAGCTCTAAAGTTTTATCGAAGGTTACCATAGAGTAGTCATGAAATCAGAACATTAAGCACAGAATTGTAATTAAAATGATAATTCCCAAGAAATCTAACTTACGCTGAATGCCAAATAAAATGAACAACTTTTGTTTAGTTCAAATTGATTTTAAATTTAGGTTGATAAATCTGAAGTACTTCTAATTTATATATTACTAAATTTTGCCTTTTTCAAAAAGCATGAAATAATTGTTTAAAGTCGCATTAAAAATACCAATTTAAGTATATTTAATATTTTGGAGAACAATTTAAAAAAAATTAATTTTTAATTTGAGCAACAGTAAGTGTCAATAGTAATTTTCAAAGTTAGAAAAATAATCAAAACATATTTAAACAATTATTTGAAGACGGTATCCTCAAAATAGGAAAAATAATTTTAAACAAATAAAAATATATTATTGATGCAAGCAAAATTAAAGGACTTCAAGTCAATGCTTTTTGCCAACATCCTTGATTTAATAATAGTATTGATCTGTCAACAGCTGCTAATTTAAATTTCTCGTGTTCAAATTTCAACAAATTTGCATTTCCCGGAAGTTTGACGTGGCATGCACGATAAAGCAGGCTTAAGTAAACCACCTGAACCAGGCACTTGCTGTTTTCGAATCAAACCAGCAGGCAATGGCCATGAAGCCCCAGAATATATCTATAATCTACTATTTCAACACTCAAAACCCGTAAAACCAGAAAAGTTAGCATCGACAATGTTCAAAAAAGACCCCCCTCCATTACCAGACGCAGTTCCTAAGGCATCGCATAAAACAATGGGATTACCGGGAAGTTTTTGTTTGAATAATAATAAAGATAAACACCTTCAGAAACAACCATTTATCCTGAAGCATTCCAAGAAACTTTATGTTGATCAAGACTGTGTTAAAATGCAGATAAAGGCAACAGCAAAAGCATTTGAAGAACTGAAACTAAGCCAGCCAGAAGGAAGAATTAAGGATGCCTGTTGTGCTGGATTGAAACCACGACTTCCGGTTACTCAGAAATACTCTCAACGTGTAGAATGTTTGGAGGTTCCCAACAGAACTAATTGGATTGAACGAAATGCCATCAGTAATATAACAAGAAAACCTGGCGAAAGGGTTTCAGATCAAGGAAGGAAGGTATTCGTGGATAGGAACAAAGGCGATAAACAAGCCATTGTTTCTACTAAAACTCACTCTGGATTAGAAAAGCGGTTCGTTTATAAGCCGACTTATGGGAAAGTACCCGAATATCTGAAACGAAGGAAGGAGATTTTGAAGGCTTCAAGAGAACAGTATTCTCATTATTTCAACGAAAAGGCTCTACAAAATGCGGAATACATGTTAACAGAGGCCGAACGAGATGAACTCTTGAAAGACCTCAAGAATGCCTGGGATAGTTATAATGCCAAATTCTTGTTATTCAAAGGTGATGAATGCAGTGGGAAGAAAAAAGCTTGCAAGGAGTATCTTGAGAATCAATTGAAAAGTTTGGAGGGGGATATTAAAATGATTAAGTCCCATCAATACATATTCGTCGAAGCGGATAAAACTCCTGGAATTGATGCTTCTGCTGTTGTTGCAGCCAATGAAATTCCTATTGAAAATAATTAATATAACAGATATTAACGCATCGAAAATGCTCTAATTAAAGAATGCAGTTAATGTATATAGGGTTATTATTGTGAATATTTTAAACAATTTGTGGGTTGGCAAATTTTGAACTTCTAATGATATGGAGGTGGTGTGGATGTCCAGCCAGACTGATTGCCAGAAAGGAAGTTTATGATTAACTCGGTTCTAGAATAGCTTCCATTTATCCAAAACTTATTTCGATTATCTTTTTTGAAAAATTGTTTAAAAAGTGTAGTAGAAGGGAAATTTCGGTTGGGCAGTGAATATTATATATATATATATATATATATATATATATTTGTACTTAAACCTAGGAGTTAAGTCATCTAATTACTTAACCTCACGCAAATTGAATTTTCAAGAATAATTTCTATTTGAAGGTACCACTAATTGGCTTTTACTTAAAGCGTTTCTCTTGAAAAGAATACAATAAAATGGCACACAATTAATAAATGCCCTCAACTTTTTGAGCTAAGTTATGTTTCTATTGGTTACAACTAGACGAGAATGAACTTTGAAGAAGCCGGAAAGGGAAATGATAATAATAATAATAAATAATTTCCTCGAAGCTTAAAAGAATAAGTGAATATGAAAGTATGGCAGCAGTTTAAGTTAATAATGATTTTTAAGTGGGGTGTGCGATCGACCTACCTCCACGTGGTGCACCCTGGGCAACG